TAAATATATATATTTGAGATATAGGTCTAATTCCCAAGCATAGCTTGTCATTGAGCCATTTTACATTACATTATGCCCTCCTGTGTGTGTAAAATGATGTCCACTTATTCTTTATGCACACCTTCCGTGCATAGAACAAATTAGCACAATTTCTCCCCCTTCCCTTTTTGATAAAGATCCACACAATCCACTCTACTGTGGATTCCCACATCAGTTGGCACCTTCCTGCTATGGAAGAGAGGGTATTCTTCCATAGCAGGTATTTGTAATAAAATAGTAAAATGGCTCCCTCAGTGATATTTTGGGAAGAGATGTGATAGACTTAGTCATTGCTTTGCCCCATTTTCTGTCTCTCATTTCTCAATTTTAAATTGTTCTTATGCCCCCAGTAACAATGTGTGGATAGTATTTATTTGTGTAATTTAGGCAACACTTTGCCTTTGGGAAAAGGTTAATCAAACTCAGTAGTTATGCAGAATGTTACCTCAAACACACCACTGGACTTTGACCATTCCATCATAGCACTGAAGCAGAAGAGGAGAAGTTCAGGCCTATGACTCTAATTCAGTTGCTAAACAGTTCTAATCTTGGGTTGTTGTAGGTTTTTTCAGGCTATATGGCCATGTTCTAGAGGCATTCTCTCCTGATATTTCGCCTGCATCTATGGCAAGAATCCCCAGAGGTTGTGAGGTCTTACAACCTCTGAGGATGCCTGCCATAGATGCAGGTGAAGCATCAAAAGAGAATGCTTCTAGAACAAAGCCATACAATCCAGAAAACTCACCACAAAGCAACAATAACAATCTTGCTTGCATCTCATCTGGGAGACATCCCTCCAGAAACCTCACCATGTCCCTGACAACTAAGTATTCCTTATCCCAGTCAGTAATTCTCCCGTTTGTTTGAGGAGAGCGAAATCCACTGCACCATTTGCCTTCCCAGTTGGGAAAGTCAACAACATGTTCAAAAATACCACTCTCCTCTACATATTGGAGATAAGAGAGGGAGGCTGCATCTATACTTACTGAAAGAATCCAGAGTATTTTTGTTCTGTAGCTGCAGCTTGAGGGTTTCCATGGAGCATTTTAATGTCTGGGTGACTGCCCAGCTGAGAGTGCATTGGAGCTCTGCTGCCATGACTGTTCCATCAACCAAAAGCAACTCCCTGGCAGAGCCTTGCTTGAAATGTCACTTCTTATGAGGTCACAATAGGGCACCTAGCTATGTGACCAGCAGAAGTGACATCACTAACAAGACTGGCAGGAAGTTGCCCTAGGCTGCAACACAATGGTGGGTCTGTTTGATGTGTGGACAGCAGATTGTCCCAGATTCAGCCCAGTCCACACTTGTCCACACTTCAAAAACAGTGGAATCATGCAGGAGCTTTTTGGGAATTGAAGTTGCCATTATGCCAGATTCTGTCATATGAGCCCTTCGTAGCATTTGCAAAATGAGTTCACTTTATTTGGCCCACATAGACATGCCACAGTTGTAATTCTGTAAGCTTGTTTTTCAGTCTGCAGGTAGCAAAGCCAACTCCTCAGACACAGTTCCAACAGCAGTCTCTGAAATCAGTTGTGGCGTCAGCTGCGTTGTATAGAACACTCCACCCCCACAAAAAGTTTACAATTTCAGTCTTAAAAGAAACAGACCAGGACTAGACAGGATAGACCAGAGCTTGCCCAAAGAATTTACAAAAAAATATATGGTAATTTAGTTAGTTGTGACCTGCATAGACTGAGTTTTACTTACAAATAAATTGTCATTTCACATGCCCTGGTTAAAATGTCATTGGACCACTGGAGGTCTCACTAGCCAACCAAGCCATAAATAACACAATCCCTGGTATGCAAAAGGCTAAAACTGTGGAGAGAATAGATGTAATTAAATTGCAGCATTTAAAAAGAAAGAAAAAGAAAGAAAAGGGAAGAAGGTCCTTTTTGTTCTGTGGACTTTTACCTCCATTTTCAGGTCAGTCAGAAGAACTTCTAAAGTTGAAAATGCCAATTGAATGTGTTTAGAGTACTTGTAAATGGCTGCAAGGGGAGTTGTGCTCTTTAAAATATAATGCCGGCTATCTCACAGCAGGTTCGCTGGAAAAGGGATTTGTGGTTTTGCTTTAGGCTGTTGTCTTCCAGGCAGGCTTTTTAGGTTTGCAGCTGTAGCATGGCATTTAGTGTTGCTCTTGAGTTTAATTGATGATAAGTGGCATTATATGCTCCGCAAAACTCTGAAAGGATTGTACTTTCCTCCGTGCTTTAACTCAGGCGCACATAATTTTTGCCATAAGAATAGCAAAGCTATTTATATGGTTAGAGATATAGATGTGAGAAAAGTAGCTTGGTGACTTTTATGGAACACATGCAATCAGTGTCTTATATATTTATTTGTATGAATTTGGAACTGTTGCTGCAAACTGAAAGACTACCTGTCTGTTAATATTAAAATAATCTTAATATTAATCAGATGGAACTTCACAACTTTGTTTCTAATTTTCAGAAACTTTGACTTTAAACCTTTTTAGTAATTTTCCAAATGGCACTCAAGCTGGTGAGGAACTGAGTACGTTGGTTCAAAATTCTGTGCTAGGGGGAAGGCAGAATTAATTTAAGGAAACTCCATAAATGTCAGATTTATGCAATTTCACTAAACTAGTGGTTTTCATAACACTCCATCTTCAAAAATATTTTTCTCTCCAATATATTACAATGAACTAGAATCCTTTTGCCCCAGAACCAGTACAGATTGGGGACCTGGGATGAGTGCATTTCATCCTGCACAGTTTAAACTGAGAGAAAGTGACAAAAAAATCTAATATCAAATAAAGCAAATCTGATCAATACACCCACTGAGGGTGAAGTTTTTGAAATGGCTGGCTAGGAATCACTGTGTTTTTCAATGTGTTGAGGGTCTGAATTAGTGTTACCACCCATTTTCTAGTGTTTCCCCCAGCTTTAAATGCTATAGGCAGGTACAACATGATAATCTTCATAAAGGAATTAGTTTTAGCTATTGAATTGAACTAGTGCAGATAGTTGGATAAAATAATTCTATATTTTTACAATAATTTTTCATAGTGAGTACATGATTTTTATAATTTTGACAGAAAAAATAGGAAATCTGAAAAATGCACATGAAGGGAAAGTGGTGCTGACAATTACATCAGCCCCTATTTTAGAGAATTCCCTGATATATTGTAGATTGTATGCTTGTTTATCATGGGACCGTGGCCAGGACTATTGTAACTCATTTGCAACTAAGCCTATATTTACTCAGCACTCAATGGAGGGTTCTACATCTTCCACCAAACTTTTCCTTCCTTGCTACTGTTCCCATTGATGAGCCCTCATTTACCATCCTTTATCTTCATAGATGTGTGGGGTGCACAAAAGCATCACAAATTAATCATGCAAAATAAAATGAAAAATCATAATGACCTAATTAGTCACACTAAAGAGTATCATCAGCAGCACCCTTGAAGAAAAGCCAAACTAGAACAGGTTAATACTAGTAACACCAAAATCAAAATGCAAGGAGACAGGAAAGGGGATGAAACTTTTACCAGTGTTGGCCTCAGCTATACCTTTATTGAAAAAGTATTCAGCAAATAAAACCAACTCAAACACTCTTGTTTGCTCGTGATCACACAGCACATTTTTTTCTTACTGGTGTACATGGTACATCTTTTGAAGAAGATCTCAAAAGTAGGCTGATGACCTTCTATGAAATGTCATAATTCCTAAACACAGTTTGAAAATATATGTAATGACCACATTTCCACTCCCAAGAAAGCAAATCTCTTTCCAGTATGAGGCACCTCATCATACTTACCTTAAACAGCATCCTAAGATGCTTCTACCCTATCTTCAGGATGGAGCCCCATGCAAGACATCACACAACATTGTGTGATTTCTGGTGCAGACCCCATCCTCAGCTGGAGTGAAAGCATTGCCGGACGCTTTCCCCCCCAACATGAGGGGCCTCTCCAAGAAGGTGGAACTGCACATGGGGCAATAGATTCACCCCTCTGCCCCTCTCTTCCCTCATAGAGCCAGATGAAATGGACACTTAGTCTGGTCTTTCTGATGAGGTCCTAGAAGTAACTAGTGTTCTCTGCTGCCTTTGTACTTTTCCTCTAAATAAAATATGTCTTGGGCTTGGGAAAAAGGAAGACTGCAAGGATGTGACAGAAATCTGGAAACTTGCATTTACTTTATTATAGCTGCAAGCTCAAGAGAGCATGGACAACACAGTTTGCTGGGACTGGAAATAGTGGAAGGCAAAGCCTGGCTGTACAGCCTGACTGTCTCTTGGTTTGCTTTTACTGTGTGAGGGTGAAAAACGACATCATCATTGTCATTATCGTTGTTGTTGTTTTAGTACAAGAAATGCTTTGAAGGTTGCCCCAAATACTATTGCTGTCACAGAAAATGGGCATTGTTGTTTAGTATTAAAATCATGTATTTTGGATGTGGGCATTTGTTAGTCAGTTTGCTATAAAATGACACACTGCTGAATCTTTAAAGGGCTTCAGTTTGGGAAAGCAAAATATGATTGGGCAAATTGCTAAAATATTTAAAGTGCAGCCTGTTAAAGCTTTTACTTCGAAGAACGTCACGTCAGAAGTTATATGTATTATAAGGAAGCAATTGGCTTTCTATCCTCATGCTAGTCAGTCAGCATGGGGGTTTCATACCTATCCCTTCTACTTCACTTCAGATGCTAATAGAGACTCTTGTGATGTTTATTTGGAGAAGGAAGGGAGAGGAAAACATTTATGTGCCTTTGGATAGTGGGAAGATAGGCTTGCCTAAAAGTTTATTATCATTAATGAAAGTTTATTATGACTTCTTTTTCTCCTATCCTCATTTCCCTGAAATTAAAGCTAATTTAATATTTTCATTAGCCTCTTCAAAGCACATTTGTCAAAGCAAATTATATGAACTGCTCCTTGTTATGACTTCCACTGATATTAACCTCTATGCTTTTTCTCTCTTTAGACATGACCCTTTATTAATACCTGGCAATGAACAAGTAGACAACATGGATTGCAATGTGAAAAAATATGATTCTACAGGAATGTTTCACTGGTGTCCTGCCAAGGAGATTGACAAAGTTATTTTGGTAGGTACCCGAAAGAAACATCTGCTAAATTATTTCACATAATGTAACTGAACTGTATGAATCTGTAAGTACTTTTCAACTATCTTGCTAATAAAGAAGTAATTCATGAATGGTAGGAGTAATCCATTGACTGCATGGCTTGCCTAGTTTAGTTTAATTGGTGTTGATAGCTTCATAAATTCTTTTGGCTATTCCAATTTTTGAGATCCTCAGAGTCATGTCAACATTCGGTGTCATAAATTGCCATCGTTAGGCAAAGCTTAAACTCAGAGCATTTGTCAAATATATAATCCATTGGTTTAGCAGATGCAATGATCATGTCTTTTGCAATAGGTACTTCCTCACTGTGCCATCAGCATGGTGTAGCCTTCACATTATTAATTTTCAAGTCAAAATAAGCATTAGGAATGTGAGTTATGAGTTAGCTGATTTATCTTTCATTATTCTGATGAATGCTTTAGCCTTGATTACCATAATGAAAATGGTATTATTATATTCAGAAATATCTTTGAGTGACCTTTTACTGTACACCGGTTGATCATTAAGGGAATTTTTCATAGATAGAGCACCCAAATTCTATTTTCAGTCAAGTTAAATGGAAGAATTAAATAATATTGCTTAAATTAAAACATTATTCTACATTATACATATTTAGATGTACTGGCTAGTCTTTCAGAACCAGGTGGCAATGCAGAATAATATTATTTATATCTCACACCTCACAGTAGCCACCATGTTTATTTGTTTTTGCTAAGGTGCATCCTTGGTTTCATACATTTTCAGAGCAAGTGCAAACTTTCTCAAAAGGGACTGTTGCTGAAGGCATAATTTCATGTAGTATTCTACTGTGTGTACCCTATACCACAGAGAAACACTCCATGCCATGATGTTGTGTGTGTTTCTCTGCTTCTGACCCATCGCATTTCTGATAATTGAGAGTGTTGCTACATAGTGATACATTGGTGCCATTTTCAGAAACAGCCCTTTGCCTCCTATAACATCACACTCTAACTTGAGACAAACAACAGTATGAAGCTACTATTTTTGACTCTCTCCATCTTCCTTTCATTCAGTGTGGGAACAGCCATCACACTAACTCAGCTAATTAAATATAATTAGTAGATCTACTTTGTTCGATTCCGTGAAAGTGCGATTTTTGTTCATGCACTTTCATCAAAGGAAGCAGCTCCACATCTCATAGACAAAACTGATAATCTATTAAATGAACTCCCTGGCGGGTCTTCACTTTGTTGTAGTTGAGGCAGTTTTTTCGATACTAGCTTTTTCAAGAGTTCTCTGAACTGCTGAATGGTGCAACCAATAACAGGGACAGCTTTGGTTTACTTTAATGATTGGGAGACAAAGCTTTGTTACTTGGGTTCCTTGGAGGCTGTGCATAATAACTATGACATTGTCTGGAATTGTACTATTGGCATTTAAGCAATCAATAATCCAGTCAATTCCACTGAGTAAATTGTTACGAATTTGATTCAAAACTGTTTAAATTGATATGCATTCTGCAGTGTTCATTAGACCACCAGAGACAACTTCCCCGTACATAGTTAAATAACTAAGGGCGACAGATGTCAGCTAGAATATTTTAAATGTATTTCAAATAGATATGACGCTAATGACCTTAATGTTCCACTTCAAAAAGTTTGCATGTTTAAAAAATGACATTAGGGGTGCCCTCCTTGTCTGGTTGTGACTTAACGTTCATTTACTCCATTTGTACAGGGAAGCTTTGTGCGTGTGTGATTTCAGTGAGTTATGAAAGTAAGAGATACACATATGCAACCAGTTTTTTCCCCTCTTTTGTCTTGTTATTTTTTCTTGGAACTGGTCCATTTAAAAGATAGTCTATGTACAAAGAAATAAACCCTGGGTGTTTACACACATCCTTCTGCCCTAGCCATACATATCAGTTATTGGGATCGTCAAATTTTATACAGCACCATCAAGGCGCATTGTACCTTCCAGAATTTAGGAACCAAATAAAAAATGTCTCTTGCTTCCAAGAACTTTACAGTTGAAAACAGACATAAGGAAAGATAACAAAGGCCAAAGAGAGAAACAAAAGTAGTAGAAGTTGACTGTGAACAATATCAAGTAGGTGATTAAAATTGGTTGCACTTGGGATATGAGGATTATGTCATGACTTTGAAAACAAATGGGAATGTGGGATAGAGAAGAAAGTTCATATTCAGGGTGAGCATCCCATGCATAAGTAGCAACAGGAAGGAAGTCTTTTTTTTAAGTGCATGAGATCTTCTTGTAGTTAAGACTGTGTTATAGAGGGAGTTACTTGTGAAATAGTAACATTGTGTGCATGTGTGGTGAGATATATATATATATATATATATATATATATATAAGCGCAAAAGCTAGCATTATAGAGCTTTCCTGAATTGTACAATAATGGAACATATTATCTGCACCATTTTGCTGATCATTTGAGTCTGTAGTCATTTACTTAGCTCTTTCTACATGCTGACAGCAGTGCAAATATGCAGGTCGTGGTAAATAACATATACAAATGAGGATACTGTAGACTCACCTTCCCTAGCTCATTGTTCATTACTACAGACAGGAGATTAGGCAAAGTCTTCTGTCTGTTGTCTTCTATCCTCTTTACCATCTTCTGTGCCACTTGCACAGAGAAGAAGAGTAACAGAGCTCAGTGCGGTATGTTATACAGCATTATCTGTCCACCAGGAAAACAGACTGCAATAAATCATGCATTAAACCCAAAATATTTCAGCTGAAATCATATGATTTGTACTGAGATTGATTTACCTATTTTCCTTTTAGGAATGATTTTGATGTTTGAATATATTTGAATATTAAGTTTGGCATATAACATGTGGCCTCTTCCTTCCCATATCTGCTTGAGTGTTCTCCCCCCTCCCCACCCTAAACTGTGTTAATCATATACAAATTATGTATTTAACACTAAAATCAGCCCTGAATTTCCAAGATGAAATTGATATCCCTCATACTAAAAGGGTAAGATTGTACTGACCAGTTACTTGGCTGTTCGAATTTTCCAGCCCATTTCCACAGAAATACTATGTGCAACCAGTATTCAAAATTACTAAAATAAAAATCAACAATAACTCTATAATGCTATCATGTTTATCTGTGCCTTTGTGTGGCATTACAAGGCATTGTTCTTTTCAAGAAGCTTCTCTTTCACCTCTGCATTGCCCTCTTTCCTGAATTTATTTTGGTTTTCCAGACTCGCAGTGAAGCAGCCATGACAGTGTTAAGTGGCCATGTGGTTGTCTGCATTTTTGGAGATGTGACATCAGCACTGATTGGACTAAGAAACTTCGTGATGCCATTGAGAGCCAGCAACTTCCACTACCACGAGCTCAAGCACATTGTGTTCGTGGGCTCCCTAGAATATCTGAGGAGGGAATGGGAGACAATGCACAACTTCCCCAAGGTCTCAATCTTGCCTGTAAGTCCAAAGCACTCCCCTCATTTCCCTCTGTCTTTCTCTAAAGACACCAACCGAATAGAATTGCATTGGCTTTGATCTTAGGCTTCCTTGTTTTACTGTTGTCTGCTTATAGGCCTCAGGACTTGGCCTTTTCTCTGTTTGTTGTATCTATGAAAACTAAGCCCTGGGAGACCTTATTAGAAGAAATTTGCCGACGTGCTCAGTCCCTTGTCAAGGATGAATTTCAGCTGCTATCAAATATGTTTGCTGTGTTATCTATTGAACACTTGCTTGAGTGCCCTGCATGCAGCCAATTTTGATGTTATGATTTTTTGACAGCATGACAGTCATTACTTATGGCATTATTTATGCCTATGAAACCTTTGAAAACATTTTGTATTATTTGTCTATCTACCTAATCTATCTGCATCCATAAAGACCTTTGAAAGGCTGCCCTGCTGGCTTTGCTTTATTTAGGAGCCTGACAGGGACATTTCATCTTTTTAAGGGAATGTGCAGCCAGATAATATGAATTTCTTCATAGCAAAATGAGTCCAGAATTCAAAGGGCCCTGATTCTTCAGTACTTGGTGTCACCATTTATGCCTCACTGCTAACTATAATGGAAATGTTTATTAGCTTGCGTTTTACACCCAGCGAGCAAGGTGAAAACAGCAAGAGAATCATAAGGATTTCCACATCAAAGCCTTTGCATGAATATCATGTGGGTCTTCTCTCCCCCTCCCCTAGTCTTCCAAAAGGAACATAAAGTGGGAGATTACATGTTTGTCCAGGGCTGCTTCATAACACAAGTCACCCCTTTGTTATACGCCATGGGAATTTCTTGTCCAACTCCTTGTAATGCACCCTTTCTCTGAGTTGTTTAACATGCAGGACCCATAAGTTGAACATGTAACCTGTGATTCATTCCATATGTCTCAGCTTCACATTCTAAGGATTCTTATCTTTGTTGCTGAATCTTAGCAAACATATCTGTAGAAGGAAAATGCTGGGTGGAAGACCCCAAAAGTACTAGCATGTGACTGTGCCCCTAGGGAGAGGCATCATATTGGAGAAGATCTTATGGCATGGCATTTATATCATGTACTGTCACATGGTCATGCATTTCCAACGGAATGGCATACAATGATGAGGGTAAACATATGTTACCTCCAAATAAATGTTGATGTATCTTCCCCAACCCCCTATTTGCATAAGTTTTGCCACATAAGATCTCATCACTTAGCCTTCTTGCTCCATCCTTGGATGCTTCCAGTACGGAGCCCACTGGAGCCCACTACGTGATGCAGGGCTACTTCTGGCAGGGCTCCATCTAGGACAGAGCCCAGAGAATACAGGAGCCTTCCCATTTTGTCCTCCCTTTTGGCCCATGGCCATGTGCTATATGTCAGAAAGGCTGATAGTTGTATGGCATGAGATAGAGATTATGACATCTCATTGGTTAGAGCAGAACCTGTGCAGGGGGAAGCCAGGTGGCATCATGTTCCCCCATGTGATGGGGAAAGTGATGATGCGGGATCATGGTTTCCCCCACTGCCCCACAGATTCACCATGCTTCCTGGTGAATCCCCCTACTGTTACCCACATGAGGTCCTAAGTCTATGAAGCAATTTTGTTCCCACAAAAAGGCATGAAAGCCAGCATGATGAAGTGGTTTGAGAGTTGGACTATGACTCTGGAAGCCAAATTTCATACTCCCGCTAGACCAGCTGGTTGACCTTGTACAAGTCACATTCTCTCAGCTTCAGAAGAAAGCAAAGGAAAATCCTGGCAAGAATCAATTTGAGGAGACAAAATAACAAGAAGGAATGTTATACCGCCCAGCGCCCTTTACTTGTCTTTCCCTTTCAAAGTGAAAATCAGTTTATTTAATCATATTGAAAGGGAGGTTATAATTTTCTTCTTTGTATCTCTTAAAGTCATGTATTATTTACTTTTAGGCCCACTGTTTTTAGGCACATAAACCATTAGTGTTGATATCATTATTATTTTCCCCAAATTTGCATGGCTCAAACATTCAAGTGGCCAATATTTCAGTGCATCCCTCCCTATGCTTAGAAAAGCCAGAACTTGCCACATGAGAGTGACTGAAATCAAGATGATTCTGAGTTGCAGACAAGATGCAGAGTGCTGGCATCATTCCGGTTCCTTGTTTGTTAGTAATAGCTTGACTGACTATTGAGACTTAATGCTAAAATGCTGCCATCAGCAGCAACTACCCTTTAGATTAGTGCATTTCTTCTATTCCCTGGCACATAGTTAGACCAGCTTAATGTCAGAACATAAAACGTATACTTGTTAAATAATTTCCCAAAGCTCCTTTTCAGTATTTAATTTGTTTTTTTCCTGCCCCTTTTCTCTCTCTCTCTCGCTCACTCTTTCTCTCTCTTTCTCTCTCTTTCCTCTCTGCCGAAGGGTACACCATTAAGTCGAGCTGATTTAAGGGCTGTCAACATCAACCTCTGCGACATGTGCGTAATCCTGTCAGCCAATCAGAATAATATTGATGATACTTCGCTGCAGGACAAGGAATGCATCTTGGCGTCACTCAACATCAAGTCTATGCAGTTTGATGACAGCATTGGGGTCTTGCAGGCTAATTCCCAAGGTAAGAACTGCCCTATAATACTTCTCTATAGTGCCTACAGGGGACAGGACCTGGCAAGAAGAATATCCTTCACTCAGTAATTCAAAGAGACCTTATATCAGCTTGCTTGACAGTTAAACCTGCTGATTGGTATGATGGGTTTTTAAGGGACGGTCGCAACACGGCACTGCGTGCGCATGCACAGAAGCAAATTTTGGTAATCCCAGCGAGGGCACAGCAATTGACTGAGTGGAGAATTTTATTTCATTTCACTCTCAGATGGGCAATTGCTACATCTATAGAAACCTTCAGTCTGTGGGCTTGTAGGAATAAAGTCACATTGTTACACATCATGTCGCCAGAGGTGGCTCGTCCTCGCGCTAGATGCAAAATGGGATAATTGCAAATGCCGTTTGACAAGGGTGTTTGCTTTGTCCGCAAGATAGCAGTCAGATGCCATATAGAATAATAATAATAATAATAATAATAATAATAATAATAATAATACCATCACTGCTACCACCACCTTCTAAAACAGAGAATGGAAATACATAGTAAGAGGGGTTTCTGTAAAACCTGTGTTAAATTTCCATAGTTTCGCTACAGTTCCCTGATATGTTTAGATCAGAAAGCATAACGTATGAATACAGTGCTTTCTTTTCAGTTGACTTTCTCCCCCTTTTCATTAATGCTAGTCAAGGTCATAGAGTGAATTTTCAAAACTCAAACAAGCATTCTATAAACTGATATAAAATAAGACGGGGACTTTCCTGAGCACTTCCTGCCCAATTAAATATTGCAAATAAAAGAACTCAAACAATAAGGAAACAGGCAGAATAAACATGGATGCTCTGTACTTTTTTTTTTGGCAAATAATGCTTTGTTTATTTGTCCTGCTTTCCTTTTTCCTTTCGTTTTTATGAAATGATAATTCAAAATCCCCATTGTCTGCTAGAGATACAAAAGCCAAGCCAAAAAAAGGGTTTCAGGATTAGAATTAATTGGAAGAGAGTGGCAATGGAAAGAAAAAAGAGGTTGCTGAAATTGTCATTTTGATGTTTAATGGGGATAAGAGATCAGGGAAAAGAAGTGAAGTAGAGGTGCAGGTGTGGCATCATGTTAGTAACCACAGCAATAATTTTATATGCCACTTTTCTACTTGAAACATTCAAAAAGATGGCTAGAAGGTTAGGAAGAGATAAATACAGTTCCAGAGGCCAGTCATCTGCCTACCGTTCTCTACTCTAGTTTCCCATTCATAGCCTGTTCTATGGACACATACAAAGCAACTGTGAAACTTTTGTGTTAATAGCTATGTTATAATTCATATCCTCTCCTTTTTGGGAATTTGCATCAGGGTATAAATCAAAGAAAGAAAGAAAGGCCACCCATGTCATCAGTTCTGCACACTGAGGATATCATGAGGCACAATCCTTACATATCATTTACATCTCAGATTTCATTTGGAGAATTATTTCCAATGCACATAGGCTGTTTAAAATTCAAATGACCGTAGAAATCTATAAGAGAGTGAGAGGTCTTGATGTGGAGAAGCTGTTTCAACCAGGGACCACTTGACCAGGAACCACTTTGACCAGGGACCACTCTGCACCATTAGTACCAAAAGGGTTACAAATCACTTTTTGGTCAACTTTAGATTCGTTTCATTTATTTGGGGTGCTGATTCAGAAAATTGCATTGGATAGACCACATCAGCTCTAGTTTCTGATACAGAACATATGCCATCCAGTAGTCGCCATCTGCTTGCCCACAGAAAACCATATTTAATGATCTAGAGCTGATGTTGTCTGTTCAATGCAATTTTCTGGACCAGCACCTTAACTAACCCCAGAAACAGGCCTAAAAACAAAACAAACAAACCAAAAAACACCGAGGCTCTTCCACTTCCACGTGCCACATGGAATGGCTGCACTCAGGGGGAGGGAGGAGGAGGAGAAGCATCAGTCAGGAGGCTTGTTGTCATGCCTTTCATGGGTAGTCAGCCTCTCCCCTCCCGACATCTCCATTGTCTTGGCACTATAAGAGGGTTTATCAAGACCAGTCACTCTCATTGCAATGGTGTAGTAACGGTGTGGCTGTGGACCATATTTTAGTTCTTGGGGACCACAGGTTGGGAACCACTGGCTTAGATGAATGCTGAACATTCACTATAGCTATGAGGGCTATAAATACCCCCATGTTTCTCCAAGACTAAGGTAAATATATTACCAAATTCATAAAGTCTAGTTCATAAAGCTTTTGTTGTTCCTGTCAAAAGCTGATTCAAATATTGTTATCAGATTTTTTATTTGTTTGCGCAAGTAGTCGGTTCTCATGAGTAGTGCAATAGGGGACAGCATTCACAGAAGACATTCTAATAGCAAGGGTTTGCATAGCTTGTCACACCCTGCTGAAAGAATGTACAACAGGATGTTGTATTAATGACTGTATCCACTATTCATGTATCACACCTTTATGACTTTGAGTTGGTACAGTATTGCAATAGTTAATATATTACAGGACGTTTCAGAGTAGGTTGGATTAAACATAAGCTCAAAAGTGGGTCTGGAGATATGTAAGCACTATATCCTATAGCTGAGTTTAAAGAGTGCTGAGAGAGTGTTCTTTAAAAATCCAAAGTACTCCGTTAGAAAGCACTTATCTTCATGGAGGTTTGTGCCACTTACGTGTGCACCACTTCTAATCTTGTTATTGCGCTTTCACAACCAAACAGTAGATTTTCTTGAAGGATCTTAAATACCATGGTTCACATTGTCAGAAGCAATTAGATCAAAGAGGTGGCATAAACTTTGCTGGAAATTGTATTTGGAGTGACAGTTTTGTCCATGAGATGCAGTTTTCGTGCGCTTTCCAGCAGAAACCTCTCTTTCACAATCCCCTATTGAAAATTCATGTCAAATGAGGGCTTGTGCAGAAGAGCTCTCCCCCTCCTCCAATTCTGTCCTTAATAGCAGAACAACCCCTCCCCATTCTGTGCTTAGTAGACAAGAGGCACAAGAGCTGCATGCATGCGCATATATATGTGTCTCTCTGTGTGTGTATAAAATGTGATCCCATTTCTGCTGATCAGCAAAGAGTGCCTCCACTTTGCAGTTCCTTACTGGCGACTAAGTGCTTTTATTTACAGAGCAGGCTGTCACTTTCTTTTTACTTAAAAGTTTGTGCATTATTTATCCTGGGAAAACATTTCAATTCACATCATTTGGTACAAACCCTTACCCATCGCTAGGCATCACTTCCTGCTCTGAAATGCATGGCATCGTGGTGTCTGGATTTGCACAAAATGCACTGGCACCAAGTCTCTTTCCTTCCTTCCTTGAAAATAGCCATATAGGGCTTCATTTCCCCCCAGATCTCCTTTTGTGCTTTGAACTGCGGCCCGATGCTTAGAACTGTCTGGGGAAGGGGTTTAGAAATCTTCCAAAACACAGGAGCAGATTAAGAAGAAAAGCAGTAGTCCTACAACCACATGGTTTATCTGTGAAGATCACCAGGTGTATACCCTACAAGAAAGAGTATACATTTCTAGCTAACCTTGAAACTCCAGTCACATGACCACATACACTGGGATCATATACCAAATGGCTTCAAACTACAAGAAAGGAGATTCCATCAGTCAGGAAGAACTTCCTGACTGTGAGAGCTGTTCAGCAGTGGAACTCTCTGCCCTGGAGTGTGGTGGAGGCTCCTTCTTTGGAAGCTTTTAAACAAAGGCTGGATGGCAATCTGGTGGGGGTGCTTTGAATGCAATATTCCTGCTTCTTGGCAGGGGGTTGGACTGGATGGCCCATGAGGTCTCTTCCAATTCTATGATTCTATGAAATAGTGAGGTGTTTAGAAAGCAATGGAAGGCCAAGTGGCTAATTTATAAAACTACTGCTCACAACCTAATTGTAGGGTTCTACCCTTCATCAGTTTACCTATAATAATCCTTCCTCATCCAAAAAGTTCTTAGCCTCTATTTTCTAAGGACTTGCTTAGATGTTACCTCAAATGCATCTCCAAACTTGGACCATTACAAAAAAGAAAAGAAAAGAAAACTAACCCCAGAGGAATAAGCTGCTAGTGACATGTAGTGATTCCACACTTTCCAAAAAAGGTTTCAGATATCTAGATTATTTTAGCCAAAACAGACATGCAATCTAAGGCTGGATCTACACCATCATTTAATGCAATTTGTTCTGCATTATATAGTCAGTATAGAAGACCTATATAATGCAGGTCAATTCAAATCAAACTGTATAATATAATTCCACACTGACCATATCATGCAGCTCAAACTGCCTTATTTGGCACTGTAGGTTCAGACCTAGTTTACCTCTCCTCTAACCATTTCCCACCTTCCTTGTTGGTTGGCAAAGATCATTAAATACTGTGTTATACTGAACTCATGCACCTGCCTTCTCTTGACCTTCCTGTACTTCTTGACATCTATATTGCTAAGTGAAAGGCTGAGCCTGAGTTGTGAATTATAAGCCCCTGTCAAGTCAGGCACTTTGCCCTACCAAGAACATCAACTCTCCAGTCCTGATTGTGCCCTTTTTAATTTGTACGTTTGCTCATAAGGCTGCCATGGACCACATTGGAGTGGAAACCATTGGGTCAAATTTTTGACAGCTCAAAGATAGTGAGGATGTGGCATACTCAAGTTTCAAACACAGTATGTTTAAAATACATCCATGTTGAATGTTGAAACAATGGGATACTATGTTCAACATTATTTGCCCCTGTGACATGCATTCTTTCACTTGAACTTTCATTTGCAACTTTAACAAAAGCTTGTACATTTTGCTAATCAAATGTTCACCATACATCCATATAGATGCATATACAAATCTGATTTAGTCTGTTTGGAAGTATAACTTTTTATCCATCTAATATTTTTGAGTAATGATAAGTTACTCTCGTTCTTTACCTGCTGTTTCTCTTCTAAAATAAGCTCCCTCTGCTAGGACCCATAAAGACATCTTCTGGCATAACATTGGTTTATACATGTTCCA